AGAAAGTCTGACTCAGTTGTGCTCTACCCCGTTGCGGTCGAACGGTCCCCACTTGCAAGTTTGTCACGCCACGTCGACTAATGCTGCCCTGAGCCCCTGTACCACGGGCTTCAGGCTCTCGCCTCGTTCGCACTGACGATGGGACAGGGAAACTGTCCTCCGGAAGAGGCCACGTCATAAATAAGGAAGGCGGCTGCTCTCTCGCGCGTAGGGCCAGGTTACGTTCTTGTTGTGCAACAATATGAGGGGGGAGGGCGTTCACCCAGTCAATGCCGTCGTTTAGATCTCCAAAGTTTATGCGTTGCATCGGCATCATAAGTCCTTTTGTTGTTTTTGCTGTTTACAGCACTTTATTGCAGTTACCGCTGCCTTCTTCTGTAGAAGGGGAAAAAAAGAAAAAAGAAAAAGAAAAAAAAAGTGAGACGCCAAGAAGACACACTACACCCTCAATAACTATATCTATATGTTCTTTCATTCTCTCATCAAACGATACGGTGATGCCACAATCAATGAACCATCCTCTGCAGAAAATTATTTCAGATAACCAAAGGAATCTTCCCCGGTGAGCGTCACCGGCGGGCTGGGCAGAGGCGGCGGCAGGTCTTGAGACCATGTCTCAATTGGCTGCACCAAGCGGCGATTTTCCCACTCTGGCAACTGTTCCTGATGCCTTTGCCCAGACGGCATGAACTCCTTCCCTTCCACTGCGTGCTGGCGATCATCAAGCTTTTGTTTTAGTTCAAGCATTTCCGCCTCATACTGCTCCATGGTCGCTTGGGCCGTCTGCAGCCTCCGCTGGAGTGTCACTTGTTGTTTTGACATGGCGCTTCCGCTAGGTGCGGAGCCTAAGAGGCGCTTTGTCAACATCTCCGAATGCTCGCGGAGTTTTTGTTCACTTCGCCGGAGTTCACGAAGCTCTCGCACAAGATCCATGTGCTTTGACATACTTACAGTCTTCGACTTCAGCGCATTGTTCTCCTTCTGAAGACGCTCGACAACAAGCTTCAGATTTTCAACCAAAGACTCCAACGCCTCGGCACGACTCCGTTGCTGTGAAGTTCCCGTGCGTTTTGTGTTGGTTGAGTCTACCTGAATTATTTCCTCAATGTGTCGCTCCAGACGTCCAACCTTAAGTTGCAGCGCCTCACGCTCAAAGCGGAGATCAAGAATAATGCCGTTCTTTTCCAATAATTCCCGCTGCAGAGTTGCCCGTTCACTTCCGTTCTCGGCCCTAGACGGGGCTATAGGGGGCTGCAAA